TATAATGATCCCAGAAGCAAATTGCTTGCAGAATATATTGTGATTACTTTTACTTTTCTGCATCCTAAACCTTTTTATTGCTTGGCTAATTTTCCAAATCATGCCCAGAGACTTTGCTTCAATCTATATAATGACTTTTGAAGACGCATACTTATCCAGACTCTCCTTGAGTAACAAATTCGATAGGTTGCTCCTTGTATACCTCTTCTAAAAAATCACAATGCAAAAAGGTATTCATCAAGTTAGTGTAGAGACCATTTATTCATTGCGGCCAAGTATAAAAATAGATGAACCGAAGTCAACTTAGCTACGGAAGAGAGTGTGTCCAAGTAGTCAGTCCCATAAATTCGAGTATAACCCTTAGTAACCAAATGGGCTTTGAGACGAGCTACGAATCCATCAAAATGAAACTTAAATGCAAATGCCCATTTACAACCAACCACTTTTTTGCCAGACGGTAGTTCAACTAGTTCCCAAGTTTGATTTGCAATTAAAGCATTCATTTCATCAAGCATTGCTGCCCATAATGGGATAAATCTTGTTGAATAGATCTCAGGGCCTCAACAAAGTCGAGAGAAATAATGAAAGAGCAAGACATAAAAGATAACTGGTTAACACAAGTGAAAATGAGATAGGCGTATTGACGTTTACCTCTTCGAAGAGCAATAGGTGCATCAAGGTCACTAGGAGGACGATCTACTTACGAAGATGATGCCAGTGCCGAATTAGGATCAGGGGAATGAGGTCTTCTAGTTACATCAAGGTCACTATTGATATGTGGTCTGGGTTGAGGCACTTGTAGTGGAGACGGAGCAGGGTCTGAACTGATTATGTGATATATATTAATAACTTATCAAAATCTTGGGAGAATTAAGACACCGATGAGTCACCAAAGAATGATATTTTTTATGAAATTTGACATCATCAGAAACCATGTACTTGTTTAGAAGGGGAAAAACGTTGATACCTTCTTTGCAACTGAGAGTATCCTAGAAAAACACACCTTAATGACTTAGGGTATAGTTTAAAAACCTATGGACGAGTATTACAAACAAATCAAGCACATCCAAATATATGTGGTTCAATGGAAAAGAGAGATTTGGTTGGAAGTAAAACCTGCGAGGAGATCTTGTTTTTGCAAAATAGAAGAAATCCGATTGTTAAAAAATATGCAGTAGAAATTGCATAACCCAGAGCTATTTGGACACATAAGTTTGCTACAAAAGAGCTCCAACTGTCTCAAAAAGATGTATATTTTTTCTTTCAGCTACTTTATTTTGGGATGGAGTTTTGACATACGATGACTGGTGGAGCGTCCTGTTTTGAAATGTATGTTTGAAAAGATGTAAAGAAATACTCTTTCGCATTTTCACTACTTAGAAACTTAATAGAAATATTTAATTGAGTTTTAGTTTCAACATACAAAGATTGAAACTGTGATAGTAACTCAGAATATTGAACTCCATTAGATAAAATAAGGTAAGGGTTAACTTTGAAAATAGTTTTAACTTTGAAAATAAGACTGAACAGATCTCGAATATTTGATTGTTTAAATAATCGAACACAATATTAAAAGCAATATATCATCTCGCAGATGAGAATATCACTTAATAATTGGTTCAATTATTCAAAATAAGAAATTTATGATCTTTGTTTCTGTCTGCGAAATTTCCAAAAAATCGTTCCCCTATCTAGCCAGGAGACTAGGTAGGGTTTAGATTATTTGAGTTACTAATTCTCCTATAGGCGCAAACCCCTATAATTAATTACATCTTAAGCGACCAAAATTACTTAAGAAAACTTTTGATTAAGATTGGGGTTTTGTCTTCAAGAATTTAAAATTTAACTTCCACTATTGATTGTAGGAAAATCAAATGAAAAATGCTCAATGTGGAACAGTCATTTTTGGAACCAAAATAAATGGGAAGTAGGAGATGTTAAAGATACCGAGGGAACCTCAATTACTTCTTAAACTAAACTATGGAAAGGGAAGTTATAAAATGTCCCAATCCTGCAATTTGTTTAGAAATTTTGGATTTATATTTGCACGACATACAATCTTGCAAATAGCCTAAAAAGATGTGAGGATTTACGTTGTACCTAAAAACGACCTCAAGATCCTAAAAAAAAGTTAGGCCTTATATCACCCGACATATAATCTTGCGAAGGCCTAAATGATAATTTGAGGATTTACATCGTGTTAAAAGAACAACGTCGAAGTTCTAATGTTTATGTTGATTATGTCTATGGAAAAAAAAGAAAAAGAAAACTATGCCTCGGGAGGCCCATCCAAGGTTCTTGCTGTTTGTTTGTTTGTTGTGATCTTGTGAAGTGTGTTTTAAATTAATGTTTATTATTGAAGTGATTAGAGGGGGGAATTTTATTTTATGTTAAGCGACTCTGGTCAAGATCTCATGATTCGGTCGTTCCGAAACTGCTATTAGTTTTGAATTTACTTAGTCTAAAAAAACTATTAAACTTCTTTAGACCAGAAGACTCTTGTTAGCAACCACGATTTATCTCATCCAAGAAATCTTTATAAATTCAAAGGGGCGAGTTATTATTATTATGTTATATTTTTTATTATTACTTCAATATGAATGTTTGTTTACTATACTATACTTTTTCTTATTTGAATAGCTTGAATTGATTTATTTAAGTTTCAAACACTCTATGATTCATATAAATAAATTTTCTTATGAGATTTTAAGAATTATTAAAAATTTTATCAAGTGAATGTGTTGGTCACATGTTATAGGGTCTCAACCTAAATATATGTATTACTTCCTCTATCCTAGGGTTTTCTTTTCATATGCTAGGAAATGCAGTAAGTAAAAGAAGAATAGTAGTATCATATATGCATAAACAAAGCTTTTACAATCAAGTGCGGTAATCGAGCAAGTAGTAGAACGTACGTGCTGCCTCTGATGCTATTTCAAATAGCCCCCATTTTTTTAAAGAATTATAATATATGAATCCTTAACAATTAACTTATAAACCGGCTTTGAAACATAAATGTTAAAAAAAAAAATTATTGCGTAGGGTTGCTTAGAAGAAGCTAGGAGAACCTCGTCGGTTGAACACTTGAATCGAAAAGAATTCTCGAGTAAGGGTCGCCACGAAGTGTGTCATCCAGGAGGAGGGCAACGAATTTTCTAAGCAACCTTATATATGATGCAATAATAAGAGGATTTACCTACAATCCACTCAATTCTTATGTGTCTATATATCTCACACCTAAACTTCATATTTGCACACAATACCCAAATTTTTAATATCACATCAAAAATAGCATTATTTTCACTTTTTAAGTGAAATGTATTTTTTATGCATATGTTTGAAGCACCAAAGTATTATGTATGTAAATATAAAAATTTAGGTATGAGATATGTAAATACATAGGAATTGTGTGCTATGTATATAAATTCTCGAAGTTAAAACAATGGTATTTTTTATCTGACATGAAATGACATGAAATGATATGGGTGGTATAACTGTAAAAATGCAAAGTTTAGGATTTAAACATGCAAAATGCAAAGTTTACAAGTAGAAGTTTTCACCAACTGGATCTTTGCTACAAACCTGGCAATCATCAATCCACAGCCATAGCTTCAGACCCTCGAGCACCATTCACATCAATGCTACTCTTCTGCTCTTCTGCTGCAGTCCTCCAAATAAGCATAGACTGCATAATGAAAACCTGGGGAGATGTTCTTCATTATGTCTTGCTATGAAGCTTGCCAGGTTTCCTTGTGATTAGTAATTACAGCAAAATTTGATCCAGATGAAGCACTTCCTTTGAAAAAGCTGTGACATGTTTACTTGCCCAATGGTGGCCCTTCAAGAAAGATTACAAGATTTGAAGCATGACCATTCAATAGAAATTTTCCTTGCAACTTCGACCAATCTTTATCTGATGCTTGAATTTTCCCAATGCTTATGTATTGTTGGCGGCCATTGGTTCCTTTAACCCACAAACTAGCCAAAACTTTGGCAGTGCTAGCAGTTCCGAAAATACGAACAACAGCAGTCACATCATATGCCAATTTTCGAATCACTCTATTAGTAATATCCTGCTGGATGCCATTCCAGCATTGAGTACGGCTGCTCGCAGAAGCAAAATGGCTTCCATGTAATGGAAGTATCTTCCCATTCCCCATAGATTCATGTAATAGTATTTTGCACCCTCTACCAGACCTTATTTTGCACTCTCTACCAGACCAATTATTCTAGCCATCCTCAAAGAAATAGTTTTGTATGATGCTTCCATCTGCAGCAGGGATGCATCTTCTTGTCTCTGAGGCTCAGACATAGATTCGTCAATTGGCTTGAGATCAGGCCTAATAAGGGTTGTTTTGCTTGGATTTTCTCGGCCGCTGCTTGAGATAGATAACCGAGAGCAGTTTGCATTGCAGGAAAAATATAAAATATAGTTAGATTGGATAGTTTCCCCTTTGCGTCAAGACATTATCGTCTGCAAAAGAGATTTGATGAAGGCAGGAGTTTTGAGGGGTCGTCGGCCTGTCATTCGAAGATACACATCTTCCAGGTAATAATAAGCATGACCTGCTACCATACCCAGAAGATCAACACATGTGCTGGTGCCCACAAGAATGGAGAAACCAAGGAAGACCCATGAACGTATGCCGCTGTAAAGGTGAACAGGCCCAGGAAACTCGTGGATATAGGGATAATGCTTACTCGAGACATGAACCAGCATGAAAGTCAATGTGTTGCTAAGAAATAGAATCTTCTTAAAACTTGCAGAAACATATGATATCATGCCAGCAATGAGAAAACAGAGGCACCAAATAAAAGTATAAAAAAGAAATCAGCAGTAGGTCCTCTGAATGAGCTCTCTAGTAATTTGCAATATTGAGCAAGGAAAAACATGTGAAAAAGAATGTCCAAATCCATTCTCCTGAATACAGTGCTTGAGGTGTTTACGCAGAAGCTCTAGCAGCCTGAGCATCTCTATAATAAGTGTCTTCACATCCTTTCTAACTTGAGCGCGCCTTAATGGCTGTAGAGTGCTGTACAATTGCTTTTGTATCTTCAGCACGATCTTTCTTCATATGAGAAGTTATGGGAACTGAAAACTGAGATATTGTATCAACTTTGGCCGCTCTGAACTCTACAGCTTTAAGGTCTCCTGATCCCAGCAAGGCAGTAGCAACCCCAGAAGCATAATGTACAAAGTTAGGCTTGATTTGGATGAAGCGGAAGTCACATAAATAGCATGTCTTTGAAGAAAAGCAGTGCGTGCATCCTCTCTATCATCCTCAGAAACCTGAACAGCATCCCCATATAACGTAATCACAATGTGTGCTCGATCTTTAGGATCCTTACCAACAAGCAGAGAGCATTTGGGATTCACTAACAAATTCTTTGAATGAACTGCAAGACTGCTGACTGCTATCACTGGCAAACCATCATGATCACAGGCAAAATCAACCATTGATCCAGATAGATAACCCTCATTTTCCTTGGAAAATGTAGAGAGCACGCCTCGAATGCTGTTATTAAGAATAATTCGAACTTCTTCAAGTAGAGAAAGATGAGGAGCGGCGGCCTGATGAGCTTGAATCAGATGGAAAACATCGGAAGCCCCATCATCATCATATTGAACAGCAATCTTAGAGGATGGAGGAGGCCATAGGGAGAGGGTGGAGAGAGAAGGGGCTCCTTGATCGACAAAGAGAGTGCACTTGGGTAGTGAAGAGTGAGCCAGAAGGAGCGTTGAAAATTCGATTAATTAGACGAGAAAAAGAAGAAGGCAAAAGCAAGGATGGTGTGGAAGAAGGGTCGACGACTTCATCTCCACGCTCCTTCTTCTTTCCCTTTCCCTTGTAATAAGGAAGCCATTGGTGCTGACAAGAGCTCCTTGGATTTTCGCAAGCAAAACTTCTGATATATAGAGCAGAGAAGCCATTCCGACTCCGAGACCAACAAAAACACTACCTACGATGGGAAGCATGGGGCCGTTGGCAACAGCTATGATGACTGCTCCAATGAAGAAGAGGAAATCAACAACTAAGAGAGAAATTCTCCTTCCAAAGTGACTATTTATCCATATAAGTCAGCGGATCCTCTTCTTTCGCATCAACCATTTCTTCCTTCCTCTAATTGCTTTGCCACTAACGCACCAAGAGCACTAAATCCTGCCCTCCCATATATAAAAGTCACATAACTCAAATGATGGGAAGCAGAGTCACAAACTATAAGGACATCACTACACTGGTTGAGATCACTGTGATTGTTAGTTACTTAATAATTCTTGAACAACAAGAACGCCGTTCTGAGGGCTGTAGGGCTCCAGTGTACATAGTAGGGTCCTTTGCGTGGCTTCAATCATCTGGAGGAGATGAAGTAGTGTGTAAAGCTTGTAGTGGAATGTTCGAGGGGGAGGGCTGAACAAACAAAGGTTTCGGGGAAGAAGGAGCTAAGCGAGGAAAAAAAATCAGCCGAGCGGGTGAACATATTCAGTGGGGGAAGAATCAAGGTTAGTGCTTCAATTTGAAGGGCTAGTTATAGCTAGGGAGAGTAGCTGACATTGGAAGCTATTGGCTTGGAGTGATGGCTTGGCAGCTTAGGTGTTGCTGAGCTAGCAGTGAGGTGGCAAGAAAAGGGGAAGTATTAATTAATTGATTTAATTAGCTTTTCATTTAAACTTTTATTAAATTCATTTTTAGCAGTCTATTTATTATTTTTTTAGAAATTGAATCATTTCATTTTATTTATTATTTCATTGAAATTTATCATTAAATTGTTTTAATTAATATATATAGGCGGGCAAACCATCAATTTTCTTTTCTGAAGCTGAAGTTTCAACTCGTGTAGGAAAATATAAATTTACACTAGTTGAAAAAATCCAATTATGTTGCCCTAAGATGGAGTTCATCAGAAAGGTTTTTGAAGATTTTAAATTGGTTGAGGATTGACAGGTGGGTCATTTTGACGGAAGACATGTTATGATACATCTGAGCACAGAAAATGAATACACGAGGATTTTCTCAAGAAATTTATCACAATTGAGGGCAAACATATGAAATTGCTCAAATAGAACCCAATTTTGATCTCAGTCAAGAACCCCCAATTGCACCTATCTGGTTCTCATTACCTGAAGTTCTTCTGGTTCTCATTACCTGAACTCGAGGTTTTATTTCTTTGACTTACCTATCTTATATGCAATTGAGACTTTTCTTAGAAAACCTTTGCAGATAGACTTACGTACAGTTCATTTCTCAAGGCCCTCTATTGCAAGGATTTTGATTGAACGAGATATTACAATACCAGATATAGAAGAAGTCTGACTTGAATTTGCTCACAATGGTTATTGGCAAAAAATAATTATGGAACAAAAACCATACTACTGCAAGCACTGCAAGATATTTGGACACCCGCAGTAGAAATGTTTCAGATTGCATCCACAGTTGAGAACAAATAGTCAAAAGTAGGAACACACTATTAGTGCACCCATGTGCTTGAACGCGCTCCAAGCAAACCTGATGACAGCCAACCTGAGAGGAAATCACCACAAGACAGTAGTTGGCGTCTGCCCCTGGGATCCCTTCTCCTGACCATACTACAATGGATAATGTTCGAACTGAAAATCAGGATAGTCCCGCAGCTCCTATTCAGGAAGCATCAGGTGCAGAGGTAACAATTCACACTTCACATACACTGGAACCTATCGCGGTGGCAACAACTGTCTTTCCTCCTACTGCGGTGCTAACATCAATGAGGATCACATGATGAGTCAGTCTTCTGACGAAGAATGACAGGTTTACAATTCTCGGCGGAAGAAGAAGGCTTGGGGCTCGCTCTAACTTGAAAACTTAATGAATGATGCTTTGGTGACTCCTGACAATGACACGACTCTTCAAAGTTTGTTATCTGGTTCCGCTCCTAAAACTAGAGGAAGAGGCATGACTAAACTTATCCCTAGCTACTTGTTTTATGCATGTTTTAAGTTTGTTTTACATTTTATTGAGTCTATCTGTATCTTTTTGTTGGGGTATTACTGTACTTGTATCGTATGGTAGGGTGCCTCTTTTGGGCTCTTCTCATACAACATTTATTTATCCTTTTCTATTTCAATAAAATCAGCCCTTGAGCTTTTCATAATATATATATATATAAAGTTATTTTAGTATTGAATTAGTTATCTTTAAAATTTATTTTATTTATTATTCTAATTTTATATTTAAGTCTTTATCTATATTTTTGAATGAGAATTTATTTAGATTATTTTAAAAATTTAAAACTCTTTTATTATTATTTAATTATAAATTTGTTAAAGCTTTAATTTTAATTATGTTTAATTAGAAATTTAGTTAGGATTATATAATTCGATTGATTTTTTTTAATATTAATTTTGACGAATTTAAAATTTCTTGATTATTGATTTGTGTTTAAACTTTAATTCAATTTTTTTAATCAATTAATTTCCCATTTTACTTTCAATTTAAATTCAACCATGGATTAAGATGGACTGCAAACATGTTTGAGTTCATCTCGAACCAAAGGCGTGAATTAAGAGTAAATATTAATCCTGATTGAGAGGGTTCGATTTGGTGAAAAGACACTTAAAGTATAAAGTAACGTATCTAGGCTTGAAAGGGTTACCTAGGGAACTCCCAACCTATAGGAGCTCAACTTCAGCTTCAATAATTTGACCTCAATAAACTCAACCAAATTTTGAGTATTCAAGGTCAAATACATGAAACTACAGAGTCACAAAATTGTTTAATTTCTGTATGGTATGTGTCCTGCACTAGTCCTCTAGGGGAAGCCACTAGGAAATCTTATGGCTAGATCCGAAGTTCTAGAGAGAGAAAGGAGGACCTCACAAAATGAGGTCAACAACTTAGAACTATACCAACTCTTTTATTAGTTTTGGGAACATAATGCAAATGATTGTATTTAACAATTTATACGACTCATAATCTAAAGATAATAATTGCGGAAATTGAGGGTATAATTTTCTTAGCATTGGTAGTGATGAGAGCGCTAATTAACAATGGACCTCAACTAGAGATAAGGTGTTGGAACAGGCTATGGGTCGGGTAGTTCGTTATCCAAAATGTATAGCCACCCGTCTCGGCCTTTACTAATCATCTTTGTCTTAAGATTCTGAAAAAGACAATAGCTAGGGAAGAATAAGATACAACAATTAAGAGTATCTGTAATCTTGCTAACAGAGATAAGATTAAAAGATAATTGGGATAAACTAAGTGCAAACGTTAAATATAATGTAGGTGTAACATTAATATGGTGCAATGACCAAGAATATTAGAGGTAGATTCATTTGAAAAGGTGACGGAAGAAAGTTCATGGAAGATAAAAAATGAGTTTTGGATTAGCTGTCATGTGATATGTGACACCATAATCAATAACCCATTATGTGTAAGAAAAAAAAAGTATCATTATTATTTGACTCAGCAAGGGCAATGATACAAGTAGATTTCTTGGTTATTTCTTGAAATTGGATAAATTTAGCATTTTCATTTGCAGAAATCGAGAGAATTTTACACTAAGAGTTCTCAGTAGTAGTGACATTATGAAATGATTGACCTAGAACTCTTTTGATTCTTTTTAAGTAACTTCTGACACGCTCTCTTCGTATGATCAGGTTGATGGAAGTAGTAGCCAACTACTCGAGTCTTGATTTTCAAAATCTGGAGTTCCAATTCCATAATTGTCTTGAGACTGAGGTTTACTGATGTCTGTATTTTTCTGGCTAGCAAGTGTCTTAGGTTTTTGCATGGGTGAAGCCTGAGAACTAAGAATAATACACATCACTTCAGTATAGACTTCCTTCAGAGTAGTAACTCCAGGGTTAGACAAGATCTGTGATTTGACACCTTCATACTGAGAGTTGAGGCTAGCTAGAAAATTCATAATAGTCATTTATTCTCTTTGAATTTTCTAAATCCAGATATTAGTTCTGAGGAGAAATATTGCATACAATTCTTCATAAACACACTTAATCTGCAAGCAATATGTGTTAAGTGATTGATCTCATTCTTCAACTTGATAAAACTTCTTGCATACATCAAAAATTTGAGAAATATTTTCTCTTAGCGAGGACAATGCGAATTCTTTCTGCACATCTTTAACACAATCTTAATGAGTAATATGAACAGATTGATCAGGTTCAATAGAATTTTGTACTTGTATCGACAATTGAGCTTCAACTCTCATTCATTTAGAATAATTCAAATCAGTCTCAGTTAGGGGATTATCAATGAGACAATTTTTCTGGAAAATACTTCTTTTGTAGAGTCTCACACTTTTATTCCAATAAAAATAACTGACGTTACTTAAATTTTCATTTGTAATATTAGTCATTGATGAAATCAAACTTGTCACATTATTTCTTTGTTTGACAGACATGATTATCTCCAAATATTTAAGGAGATTGAATTAGTACTTAAGGACAAGCTGAAATGTGAGATGAATGCCAACGACGAACAATATTGAGCCTTAGGAGACAAATGACTCGTCGATGAACAATTCAACGATTGTCGAAGACCACAAAAATGAACCGACGAAGTCAACGAAGCTCAATGAAGCAGCCAATGAAATCGATGTAAGCAGATGATTTCGATTGGGATGAAGATGAAGCAGATCGAAACAGACTACATCGATGAGGATGGTGCGAAGCAAAATGTTGCAAACAATGTCGATCGACACAGACAGCAGAAGAAGCAGATGTCGGTTTTGTTGATGCCCTGATCCAGTCGACGCAAACAGAGCAGAAAAACTTGGGCAGTGCTGATCAATGCCTTAATTCCATCGTGGGATGAAGGCGAAGTAGATGGAGCCGAACAAAGTAGACGAAGATGCTGATACCAAGTGAAGGAAATCTACCTATTTTTCTTATTCACCAAATGAAAATATATGTTAACATATTTATACACTCTCCGATCTCTTTAGATTAGAAATATTTTTTGTAGAGGAAAGATCATGCAATTAGATCTCCTCTAATTAGGTTATCTATTTATTAGATTTTTCATAATCCAGCTTCTGGCATACAACCATCTTATCTGTTACTTTCCATAACAATTTGCAAACTTTTGATAGTATAGCTATAATTTGGTAGCTTGTTAGATGCTTGTCTTTAAGTATTTAATATATACTAGGCTTGAAGGAAAAAATTGATTGCAGTCCAGCAAGCTGGATCCTTGTACTTTGTCGATTGGTAGAGCCATGCTCAAATCAGCAATTTATTGACTTGACTTGTTTAAAACCATTTTTCATTGAGGCTATATTAATAGAAATTAAGTTTTATGTTTGCTAATAGAGGTATGGTGGGTGAAGTTGCGGGATAGTTCACAAAAGGTTTTTTCCCCTCCTTGATTGGTTTGAAAGTTTGTTTTGAGTATAATCTTTGGATATGGTAAGGTGAAATTCACATACCATCGCATTGGAAATTATGCTTGACGATTTGATGTAGTAATGATTTAAGTTTTTAAGAATTAATGATTATAATAGTTTTTGTTTATTGAGTTGGACAGATGTCTATTGGTTTAGAACCCAATTGAAGCCTTGGTCTTACCGTGAGTAACTGAATTGTCCATCCTTAAAATAAAATCAAAAGTTACAAAAGGAGCTATAAAAGCTACACAAAAGAAGCAGTATGGTTGGCATCATCCTCAACCACACTCAAAAAATCGGGGTGGCAAGTGTCAGCATCCCAAACAAAAGACCTATCCAGAGTGAGCCTGGCACAAAAAGGGGCAACGCTGTTACAATTTCTGTGACTATGAAAAATAACTTGCCTAAATTCAAAAAGAAACTTAAAACTAGCTTCAAGACCAAATTGTTGAAACTTGTTCTTACACTTCATGCTATCCTGTATGAGGGTACTAACATTTGCGTTATCACCTTTGATAATAAGCCCTCTTTGTCTCGAGCATCTAGGACTTCACAAGTGAACCAAAGTAGATGATCACCTCCAACTCCACTTGGGAACTATCTCAACGTGTTAATGTTTTGACAGTCGCCAAGATAGCTTCGCCCACCTCATCATCGAAGGTGGCAAAACTAGGGTTATTAACTCCCAAGGGTTTAGGCATATCAAAATTTCCTTCAGCACTTCGCAACTGACAGTAGCATGTGTAATCTTTCACTTCTTGGCATCCCCTTGGGGGTATTATATATTTGTTTGCTTAAAGATTCTATTTTGGTTCAAACTTACAAAATTTATATTTTTAATTTTGTGTCGCTTGATGTGCTTAATTTTCTATATTCTTGCCAAGCTTGTTAGCCCATATAATTTAGGTGTATTTTCAACTATATACTTTGGCCTAAAAAATTATGGGTCCGTGATTGGGTGGCTTCACTGATATTTCTTTTTTTCTCCTTTTATTTTTTTTGGAATTATATGATTAAGTTGTGTTATAAGAAATACTTTAGAAAATTCTATAATTTGAGGCCCTTCTATCAATCATTGTTGAACTGTAAACCATGTAGCATTGACACTTCTAAAAATGTCTACTAGTTGTGTCAGACACATATCGGACACTGACACTTGTTTGACACTCCCTGATACTATTTGACACTACAAAATATGAGTGATTTTTTTGGGCCCGAATACGTCCGGGACATGCTCTGACGTCTCATCGGATATGAGATCAATATGATTTAGAAAAAAAATAGGACATGAAAATTAGAAATTATGAATATATATATAGCCTTAATTATATCTCATAATTGAAGACGCCTCATCTCTCGTCATGTTAAAGCTTCATCTAATAATCATCAAAGTTGAGTGTAGAAGGTGCATCTAATATTCATCGTGGCTGAGCATCAATAGTTCTCTCTTTGTTTGTCGAAGCCAAGCATCAAAGGTCCATCCAATATTTATTGAAGTCGAGCATTGCAGTTCTCTTTTGTTTATCGAAGTCGAACCTACACCCGCTAAAGTGGAAGCTGTAAGCTTCTTTGTCACAATCTGAGCGGGAGTCGGACATGTTCGTTGAAGCCAATCCAATATCCCATGAACTTTGCGACATTTGCAGTGAAACTTCTATTTGTAGAAGCCAGTAGTCAAGACCGTCCTAGTTTTGTAATTGATAATTATATTATTTTATCTTTAATAAGTCAATAGTTATAAATCTATTCTTATTATAATTCTAAAAATTTAATTTTAACTTAATTAAACAACGTGTAATTTTAGTATATTTTAAATTTTAGTAGATAAGTTGGAGGAATTCTTTTGAAACACATTATATATCTAATTTTAAAAATTAAGTTTCATAAGCATGTTGTTGCATAATACAAGTTAAATTTTATTCTTGCATAATTTTTTTTGTGAAGTCTTTAATAAAAAATAATAGAAAATAACTATTTTATATTAGTAATTAATTAAATATTAAATCATGTACATGACATGTCATTCTATTTTTTTTTTCAATTATGTCGTAAATTCGTATCATGTCTTGTTGTGTCCACATGTCTGTGTCCTTGCTTCATAAACGGCTAACCATGCCATCTAGTATAATAGATTGTTGTATAAAATAAAAAAATATTGCATGATTTACGTTGATTTACGCACTAGAAATGATCTGCCATTCATGAAATAATTTTTTTTTATTTGCAGCATGAAGTTTATGACTGCTTGCAAACTTACACTGATGAATATTATTTCTCTTCATTATTGGTCTCTAATTTGCTGACTATTATCATTGAAGGTGAAAATTGTTATCATCGACAGCATCTCATTTCACTTTCGCCAAGATTTTAAAGAAATGGTCCAAAGGACTATTGTGCTTAACGAAATGTCCAGGCTACTGATGAAAGTTGCAAAAAGATTTTCCGTGGCTGTAAGTGTTCTCATCTTTTCACTTAAAAGTTCATTTTGGCTTTTTTCAAGAGTGGTGGTGGTGTGTGTTCATTTTGGCTTCTTTCGAGAGTTGTGTGTGTGTGTGTGTGTGATCTGAAAAAATGCTTTTGATTGATATTTAAATCAAGCGGGAGGGTGAGGTCTTCCTGGAATATTTGAAGTGTATGCCTCCATGTGAAATTTCTATATAAACAAGTTTTGCGCTTTATCTTCTCATTGTTGCCTTGATGCTTTCAAGCATCATCTCGTTAGGTAATGCACTTTGCTCCCCTGCAAAGCAAAGGCTGAGAATGACATCGATGCATGGCATCCGTGGCATGGTGAGGAGAATCCCTAGTATATATATTACCTTTTATTTGTAGTAATTCTCTTTAAACATCTCAATTACTTCTTTATTAGCATGGAGGGAGGTTTCTTTTTGCTTAGGTGCTATGCACATCTATAATGCTTACCATTTAAAAGTGGTGTGCAGCACTATATATAGTCTTGGGGCTTTGTGTGCTATCGTGCTTGCTCTTCTTGGTGGAAATGAAATAAGTTCAATTCACTTTCGTACCCATTTGTGGATGTGATCTTGAAATGTTATCAAGTTCTGGGCAAAGTCCAAACTCTTTCTACTTTATGTAGACTTGTCACTGTCATTTGAAGTGATATAAAAATTAGAATAAGTTTTTTAAGTGTCATTATTGCTTCATAAGGAATGAATTATGACATTTGTTTGGGTACTTAATGGTACTCGGGTTTACTTTGAGTACTTAAAATGACCCACAAAATAAAATATCTTGTTTTTTGATTTGATTCGTAGACTGTTTTGTTTGTGAAAGGCACATTTTGGGACATTTTTTATTTTTTATTTTTATTTTTTGCTTCAATGATGTCATGTTATCTGATTACTACCATATTATCCAGGCTATCAAATTATATTGGGAAGCCAGGACTGTTGTTCCTTGGCTATTTTGAGATTATAAATACTAAAGAAATTTATTCATAAGATGAAAACGAGATTAAAAGTATATATTAAGAAAATATTGATGTCAATGATGGATTGATCGAGCCTAATTATGACTGAAAGTATTCCCAATCATGGATCAACAAATTTTGACCCATAGCTAAGTCCCTTAACTTTCTCAAAATCACTGGGGATAATAAAATTTGTTTCCATAAATTTTTGCGGAAGGATCAAGGAGAGTGCAATTAATCATATAATGATAGTATTAATTATTATGTTAAATTAAACAAATGAATACACAATATGTATTTATGTATAACTATTTATTAAGTCATATAAGTATTTATTAATGTATAAAATAAACAGATAAATACACAGTTAAAGTTGACATACATACCATGCTAATTTATTTACAATCTTTTTGCTCATGTGCATTTTCTTTTATATTTGAACATAAATATATATAATACAGGCATATATAGTATTATAATGTATCATTATTTAAATTTTTAAATCAACATGAATGTACTTTACATTGTGAGTTAATTTGTACACTCTCCATTTTAAAATTTTATTTTGTGCGATTCTCTTCTCTACCGCATTTTCTCACCTTTTCTCTCTTCATTTCTCCCGTACCCACTCTTCGTCATTTTTCTTAGTTTATCATCATCCCCCTTTTAAACTAACTTTTTTGCTCTGTAGCCTTTTTTACTTACGAACACCTAACAATCACAAGCAAAGTATACCAAGGGGTCATGGCTCCTTTGTTTTCATATTTTTTGTGTCTTTGATGTTGTGGGAAACATAGGATCTCCTACATTTTAGGTGACTTGCAGAAAGAGTACACTCACACATATCCCAAGCACTTTTGTTTGTGTTTTGGGATTGCATTTTTAGTCCATTGACAAACTATGCAATACACCCAGAATGCCTTTGCAAGTTCTACAAGGTAGGAGAGACACAATTTTTATGAAACCCTATATTTCTGCAAACCCCATATTGTTTATACCTTGCGACAAGCTCAAGACAAGCGTGTGGGCACTCGTTGTGGGGTTCATTCGTCAAGTCAGGTGAAATAATCTTGTGCAAGTTTAAGAAAAGAAGTCTTTTTCGGTTTTCACATGATATTTAGTTTAACACAAATGCATTTAGGATTTTCTACCTAATGTAAATAGATAAGTGCAATTGAATGTATGAATACATATTTACTTCTCTTACAATACATATGATGCTATGATTATACTATGATACATATGACTGTTTATGGTATTAATTGTCTAGGTATTTATTTGTTATGCTTCATATCTATGATACAAGTAATTTATGATAAATGTTTGATGCAGAAATAATGATTTAAATGTCACAAGGAATGTTATTGGTAGACAATTACACGAGTGTTTGCAAGTACACTATACAACAATATGGTATTCTCAACTCTTGATATTTATACGGGGACAAAACTCTGGGAAGCGTTGGGATTAGGCGGTGACAGAATGTTAGGAAATCGTTGAAATTAGAATGACTATTGATAACTGCTATATTGAGGGAAATCCAACATTTATAAATAGTTTATATGACCTTTGAGGCTGACCCATGATGGCAAAATATGAAAATAATTGAGGCACATACATTTACAAGTGACATTACTATGAAATGACATTGTCATGATTACATATAATGAAAAACTAATGAACATGCTTATGAATATGCTTAAAATCATATTAATGGCCATACTTATGATTTCATGCCTATGACATACATGTTTACACTACTGTCTTGATTTTTACACTATTGACTCTTTTTTTATGTTCTCTACCATGCTAGCATATTATGAATTGTGTGTAGACATGTACAATTTCATATAAGCATGCATGTTTCTTTTCCATGTATAAAATCCTATGTAAGCACTACCTATTTCTCTGAGCTTATTGTTGTTTATTCTACATTATTGTCTTTTAAGCAGAGACAACGAACACCGAGGTGAGTAGTTAGGTGTGATTTGTATGTTTTTGCATTATATAATTTTGGGATTTATACAGTCTTTTTTGGTATGTATTGTTTATATACTTTGAAATTATGGTTTTTCCATGTTTTCGAGTATAAATATGAATGAATTATGAAATGCAATATCACGTATGATGCAACAATTTAGTTATACCAGTTTTTACCCAATGAATCCTGATTTTGCAAGTTACAACGAGTGTTGATGATAATTTAATCTGGATAAATTGTCCATCTCTGTCGCACCTCAGCCGACCCTTAAAGGGGGGGGGGTCAGTTCGGTGTGACACACAGTAAAGAACCGAGGACTCGTGTGATCGAAAACAGGGAGGGGTTTTGTGCTTTTCGATTTCGTTCCAAAAAGAGAAAACCTCTTGGAGGCTCTCTGTCGTCGGTTCGCACTTGACGTCGCGACTGACCACAAAATTCGTGTGAAGAGGGAGATCAAAAAAGCTTCATGCGACAACCGGGAGCAGGATAGAGATTTGAAGACTTTGGAAAGGATTACCCAATTCGACGCCATCCTGAGGATATACCATGTGGGTAATATCGGTGGGAAAAAGAAAGCGTGACTAGGGAGGGATAATTAAGGGTTAAATAAATTAAATTAAATTAGACTTATAATTTTTAATTTTTATATTTCTCAATCCATTCATAATTTACATATAGTATCATATATCGAGCAGATCGTTTTAACGCATAGAATTTTATAAAATTACTTCAGTTTAAATCTAAGGGATACAAAATTTCGGGTATATTTTAAGTCGCCAAAATTCTTTACCCGATTTTCTCAAAACTAGTTATTACAATCTCATCTTTATAAAATTTCATCATCAAAACTAATGAACGCCATATCAACTATGTATATTTTAAAGATGAAACATAAAGTGATTACAAAAGTCTATTTTTTGTTAAGTGGTAACTAAAATATATGTGATAAACTATACATCCGATAAATCCAATATAGCACACAAAAGACAATTCATCCATCAAAGTATGCATCAACATCAATGGCACTATGTTCTTATGGTTCCTGATAAGAATTAAACACATTGTCTAATGTTTTGCCATGGTAGCTCACTACAAGTCACGGTGCCATTTTTAAAAGTAGATCCTTCCTGAAAATTCCTTTGGGTTGGATTTTCTCCTGGGTTAGAATTTGATGTGGATCTCTGAGCTGAAATAAGATAATTTCTCCTCTAATAATCAGACTTTCTGCATAAGTAGCACACATTCATCCCAAATAAACATTCACCAAGAGGTTACTATCCACACATAAAACAGAGCTTTATATTGTTGTTGCCAGTCTGGCTAATAACATCACCAATGTAAGACTTTATCTTCTTTCCAATAAACTTTCCTCCTGAACAAGCTGTTGGCATCACTTTTTCCAAACTTTTCCTCTTGTGCAAATCTCTACGCTTCTAAGTCCGCTGGAAATCAATCTCTACCCGCCGAACCCTCTCCACTAGCACTGAATAGTTTTCAATCCCCAGTGGCACTACTGGTTGCCTGATTAAATCCTTCAATCCAGAAAGAAATCTATGGTATTTCTCCTCTGCATTTCGAGCGAGTTAGGGTGCATAACTTGATAGCATAATGAACTCCGCTTTGTACTGCATAACTGATGGATTGCATCTATCTCCTGGCAAACAGTGGTACAAACCAATCTTTGAATGCTATCACGAACTCATCACACTGCACCAAGTGGTTGGTTCTATGTCTGAACTTCTCCTGCATCTGTCATTGCTACCATCTTTTGATTTCCCCCTCAAAAACAAAAGTAATAAGGGTAACTCTCTTCTTTGGTGGACATGACAATCCATATAAAATCTTCTCCACTCTCAATAGCCAGTTTTCAGTTTTCACTGGCCCTCTTGCTTCATAAAACAAATGTGGTTTCATATCTTAAAAGAGCTTCAAGTACTTATCCATTGGTGTTCCACTACTACTAGCTTCAAATTGGGAATTCTTAATCAACTGAGTCATAACATTCATCATATCAGAAAATGCACTAACACTGATTGGAA